AACATTTGTATCGTAGCCAAAACTAAAATTATCATACATATTTATAATGTATGGGCAAGCAAAATAAATAATATCAAAGCAAGATTAGCAACAATAATGAGAACAAGGAACTTTGACTCTAGGCGATTAAGCCTCTAATCAAGAGCACCAAGCTCTGATACCAATTGAAAGTACCCTAGAGGGGGGGTGAATAGGGTTATTGCTAATCTTATTAGATATTAATACCGATTAAAATTAATTAACAAATATATCCTAACAATATTAATATTCAATGTGATATATGCAAGGATATATATGTATGTATCGCTAATATTATATATTGGTAATCATTTTGTAAGTATACATAATATTGGATATTTAGCACCGCTTGAGATATTTTTGTGTATATATATGTTTTTAATTTCATTGTGAGATATTGAGTAATCATTGTGTAAGATGTGCATATTATAAATGTAACCAAATAAATAAATAAAATAGTTGGTGAAGAAAATATTAAAATTAACAGGCCAAATAGTTTCAACCGTTTGGCCAGATACTTGTCCAAACGGTTGAAACCGTTTGGCCAGATACTTGTCCAAACGGTTGAAACCGTTTGGCCTAAAGTTGTCCAAACGGTTTCAACCGTTTGGACAAGTATCTGGCCAACGGTGGAAACCGTTTGGCATATATTGTAGTCCCAAACGGTTACAACCGTTTGGGATACAGTCCAAACGGTTGTAACCGTTTGGGCCTTTGTCCAAACGGTTGTAACCGTTTGGGCAACCGTTGGGGCAGGCTCATCCCCAACGGCTTCAGCCCAAACAGTTCTTTTTGTTGTTCAAACGGTTGTAACCGTTTGGAACACAGTTTTCCCAAACGGTTCCAACCGTTTGGACAGACCAATTTTGTACTAGTGAAAACTCCTCCCTGAGACAGTCCATCTCAACTACCTGAGCTCTAAGATCAGCCAACTCGCGACGTAGCTGCTGATTAGAAGTGTTGATTTTTTGTATGGATGACGCCCACAAATAAGACCGAGTGGCACCAACGCCCATGGCTCTTTCATAACTACCATGATGCCTCCGTGTAAGGAATCTAACATCTGGGTGAAAGAAAATGCATCGTCATCTGTGGTTGAATCGACCCCTAATAAGGTTGCCTTCTCGATGACTCGATTCTACGTGATACAAAGTAGTCAAATGTATGTCGACAATGCAAAAGTAGATATATTTAAGAAAAAATAAAATCAAAATAGAAGTATGATTATAGCATAAAAGTAATTCGTTCTTCCCAATTGTCATGAAGTCTAGAATACCTTACAACAAAGTCTGAAATTGTTCTTAATGATCGTCGTTCTTAATGCCTTCTGTAGTTCCTATCAATGAAGCTTGAAGCTGTAAATTCCAGGATGAATCGATCGTCGTTCTTAATGCCTTCTGTAGTTCCTATCAATGAAGCTTGAAGCTGTAAATTCCAGGATGAATCCTGGAATTGAAGGGTTTCCTCCTAAAGAGGCTATCAATGAAGCTTGAAGCTGTAAATTCCAGGATGAATCCTGGAATTGAAGGGTTTCCTCCTAAAGAGGCAACCCAAATGATCTGAATGCATGTCCCTGGGTACTGAAGGAATTTCATTGCTCATTCCAGATATGCTTAACTTTCAGACCTATGTAACCTTGCTTCTTAATCTGTCATGAAATTGCTCGAAGATCTTTCACAGTCAAAGGGTTTAATCCATACGCTTAATTTATGATATTTTATTTTTCATTTTCCGGGAATCATGATATAGGTTATTATGGAATCAAGCTCTCTAGCTAGGAACACTGAGATTTGGATCACAGATGATGTTGTGTGGGCCTGCTAAATTAACTTGCTTCTGAAAGCATGTAAATATCATTGGATTTATATCTGTTCAGCTCTTACTAGTTTTGCTAGCATTTATTTTTGAAATTTTCATCATTTCAATTTGGACCACATGCATGTAGTACTGATTACTTTTATTAACATTTTATTTTCTACCATTTTTCTTTACATCAGTTTGTAGCACAGGTATACAATGCTCCTACTTTGGCCTTCACAGGCCCCGAGGGAATACGATCAAGCATCAGCCTCAGAATGGCTACATATGCAAGTTGGTGGTGCTTTTGAAAGAGTCGCATAAAATGCGATCAATCCCCTTTACTCTTTCATATTCAATAACGAGAGCTACCAAGCTGAATCTAGTTAATTAGTAGGCTAATTTCTCTTCGTGTCCTCTGCTCCAAGACTGAAGATGATCTTAATGTGTTATTTTATCTACGCCTTGGAGCTGTTCTGTCTATATAATCATGCATATATGTATAATTATGTAAAAAGTTGGGCAGTCTTCTATTCTTATGGAGATCAATGCACTCTTCAAGTCTTGTTTCGTTTCTTTTTTTAATGTATTTCTTGGCAGTGTGAGACGTGGAAAAGCTAAAAAATGTACTGACGTACTATTACTGAAGTATGATTATATTTCTTAAACAAGTTTCACAAGAAGTTGATTGCATAAAAGTCCCTAGTTTCTATCACATTCATACTTATACAATACTCCTTTGTGCTATTATCCGAGTATATATACTCTCCAGTGATCTTATCTACCGAAATATAGTTTTAATATTGTAGAATATTGTTGGGAAGAAAGTAAAGTTTCTTTTCATTAACTGCAATAACACACCTTACACAAATCAATCAAAGCCTTAAGTAGGCTTACACCACTACTGAAATAGCTAAAAATAAGGAGAAAGTGGGGAAACATGGCCCATGACTCTAACTGCATAAATGAAAATGCTAACCAACTAATTAAAGACTAAAGGACCCACTAAAAACAGAAAACTAGCAGCCACAAATAAAATAAAAAGAATGACCCACTAACTATTTGAAGCACTATGGTACTATGCAACACTCCCCCTTGCTTCAAAGTTTGTAACCCCCATCAAAAGCCTGAATGTGACCTTCTACCTCGGTTTGGACCTTTTGCTCTTGCAACCAATGCCCCTGCTACCGGCTCAATAGAAGTCTCATTGTCCTTCTTCCTGAGTTGGTAAGAGTAAGGACAAACGTCTCATATTCCTCGTCGGGCAAGGAACTCAACAATAGCAACGCCTTGTCCTCATCTTCAACAATGACATCTACATTCGCCAAATCTGCAAGAAGCTTCGTGTAGTGGTTCATGTGATCACTAATGGATGTCCCCTTCTTCAATTGGAAGCGATAAAGCCTCCTCTTCAAATGCAAGTGGTTTTCTATGCTCTTCGTCAAGTACTTGCTCTCTAGGACCTCCCAAATCTTCTTAGCAGAAGTCTCATTCATCACATCATATTTTAGATCTTGAGAGAGACAAGACCTAATCACACCACACGCTGTCCGATTCATCTTTTTCCAAACCTTCTCATCAATGTTGTCCAGTTTCCCGTCCAACTCCAACGTATCTTCTAAATTCTGCGCATTGAGCGCATCCAAGACTTCGCATCGCCAAAGTCCAAAATTGTTAGTGCCATTGAACTTCTCCATGTCAATCTTCATCGAGTGGATACTCAAACTTTGGACAATCTTCACACCTGAAGAACTACCCTCAACTCCCTCTTTCTCGGCCATAATCCTCAATACACCAACAACCAATGCGGAAACAAATGAAGAATAGATCCAAAACTGAGAAAAGAAAGAAGCTTTACCGAAAAGATCCCACCTTTCTCACCAACTGAAACCCTAGACGAGCTTCCCAAATCGATCTACTCCTCCAAATAGCCCAAGCGTAGCCCGAGGTCTGAAACCAAATTGTTGTGGCAAAAGCTGTGTCGAGGAACCAAACCAAATGCCAATTCCAAGAGAGCCAAACGAACTAAATATCAATGCACAAACAAAACACAAATTTTAACGTGGTTCGGATTAAGATATCTTGTTTTAGGGTATATTCTGGCAGATAAATAAGAAATGTAAAGTATCTCATAGTAGTTTGGTGTTAGGCTATGCATAGTGGAGCTAAACTATATTCCTAATTACAGACAGCTCATGGAAGAGGTGCAGTTGCTTTTTTTGTATCTTTTCCGGCCGTTACTAGATAAATTTGTACAGAAAGCCTGGAAAGCTTTTTTACTTGGAATTATATGATGGGAATCCAACCATACTTATTGATCACCAAAACATGCATTTTCTTGTAGTTAGAACTGCATGACATCCCATGGATAAGCTCAAAACAAAAAACGAAAAATAAACACAAAAAAGGGAAGAAAAGCCAGACCCGCATGAACAATCCCACTGCTGGCTAGAATTCCTTGTTTTATCACGTCTAAGAAAAATAGAGTTAAAAAAAACCAAGATTCTTTAATCTACGGAACTTCACAATTACCACTATTACAACTGTTTCTCATCACAACAACCAACCTTTGATTTCTAAAACTAGGAAACAGAATATGCAAATTGCAAATGATTGCCTAAGAGTTAAACAGACATATCCTAGTAAATTACCACAAACAACTCACTGGAAAAACTGGCCACCTGCACCATCAAAATTACAATATCAGAGGAAGATTTCTACAGTAGCTAGACATATAGGCATATTTATTTGTTTAAGCATTTTAGGTAAAAAAATGAAATATGATATTCAATATTCTGTCAATTTTATGAATTTATGCCCTTACTTCTTGCAAAAGATGTGAAAATAATAGGTAAAGGTCCGTGTGGGCGCTGGGGTTTTAATTAAGCATGCCAAATTATTATTTTGAATATATCTACCCTCAACGTATTAAGATTAAAATTTAATACACTAAAAATATACTGACTAGACGATTGTCTAGAAAGTATGGAGTGTGAAGGGTAGTCGTCTGTAAATAATTTTCTTCTGTAGGCGCTTGCTAATTTGCTAATCAAGATAAGATGGTTCTATTAAATAGCAAGAGTAGCACAATTGTGATATTAAAAATACAAAATAAAGAGATATAAGTAAGGAATAAAGATTATGTGTCATGTTAAAACAGAATCAAAAGAAAATTAAATAGTTACCTACGACTGGAGTAAACTCCCTAATGCTAGGTACGGATGTAGCAACATGAGCAGATTCGAGTTCTCTCCTACACTCTCTCGCCTGAGGATGCAGGTCTTCGCACTGTATAAGTTACGTGCTATGTTCCGTGATGGAACTCTAGACATCTTCGTCAAGCCCTAGAAAGAATTTTACAATTCATATAAGATATATGCGAAATAGACATATTAATAAATTTGAAGATATAAATTTTAAACAATATGAATTTTTATAATGGTTACCTTTTTTGCTTTATAGAAGTGTTTGGTTCTACAGATTCCCTAGAAGTTGTAGGAATATGTACAAGTATTTTACTATTCAAATCATTCCTAATCCACAAAACTTTATCAGATTCAGGAGATTTATCTTGACATACAACTCCTCCCTGCTCAAATTCTTCATCATCATTAATCTCTACAACCTCAAAATTTACGAATTGTAGGACGTCATAAGTATCCCTAGGCCTCCATCGACATACAACACTCCACCCCGAATGCCTAAAGCACTTTGAGTAGTATACTTAAAATGCTTGTTCTGGAAATATAAATAGATCATCCTCAAAGGAAAAACGTGTGGTGTTTACACTCGTCAATCCAAATTCATCTACACAAGTCCCGTAATGGTCTTTCAACTTACTAGTTCTAGTCTTCATATCATACCAAACACACTGAAAGACATAAATGCATCCTACTCATCATGGATAGTTGATACCAAGTATGTTATCAAGGTACTCATAGTATGTCACATCATTAGTGCCTAGGGTTAATTCCACCATTTTGGGTGGTTCAAGATTCTTTTGTAGACTTGATTTCAAACTTGTAGCCGCCAACACCAAATCCTTTATAGTATTTAACTTCAGCATCTTTAAGTGTAGACAAATATCCAAGTTCCTTATCTAATATTGATTCTACACTCGGTAATCGTCTCTGACGAAAAGGTTAATATGACAATTACATAAAGATGTTAGATTAAATTAATAGAATGAGTCAAAAAAATGAGATAATAAAAATCTTACATAATTTTTAAACCAATTGCAAAAATTGTCCTTATGATGTGTTACACGTGCCTCATTCCAATTACCATGCATTCCACGTATTTCATCCTTGTGTATACTAACGTCAAAATGAGTAACTAATATGATAAGTATATTATGTCATATAAACATAGACATACTCTCTAACTTCTCAAAGGCATTCGATATTGAGAAGGATAAAGCGATGAATCTTGTTGATAAATGTGGGCGTCATTCCAAAGAAGATCGTTGGTCACTAAACGGACTGATTTAGGAAGGGAAGTCCTGAGAGAGAGTTGAAGAAGATGTTCCATTATAATATGGTGATCATGACTCTTCAACCCTTCGATCTTGCCTTTAACAATCTTTATCTTCTTACTAAATGATCGTGAAAACCCCAAAGGAACCTTCAACTCATATAACACCTGAAGAAACTTTTTCTTTTCATCTAGTGACATGTGATACATGTCATTGGGGAGTACAAACTGGTCTGGATTGCCTGCCTTCGGTATAGGATGCAACTATTTTCTAATGTTCCACGCCTAGAGATCCTTTCGAGTTTTGAGGTTATCTTTTTATTTTCCAGCTTCATAGAGAAGTAAGTTAAGTATGTGCTTAGATACTCCTTTCTCAATGTGCATGACGTCTAAGTTATGCCACATTTTATTTGTCTTCCATTAGGGTTCTTCGAAGAAGATACTTTTCTTATTTCATCCTTGTGGTGTTTCTTGTATTCTCTTAACATTTTTGAAGGTCATGTTGTTTTTAACATTCCCTAAGCAAGTATATCATCTCCGGATAATGGGTCTGGACGCGGGCAATTCTTTTTAGTACCATCAAAGTGGATGATGTCATCTCTATAAAGATTATTTTCATCCAACATGCATTGATGGTTGCAATAACAAGTCTTATTGCTAAAGGGTAGTCTTCTCGATACTGTGTGGAGATGACGGTAAGGACATGCAATGTAACCTTGTACAGACCAACCAAATAGCATTCCATACGTAGGAAAATCAACGATTGTCCACATTAAGGCTACACACATGGTAAAGTTTGTCCCCATGTCCGCATCGTATGTCTCCACACCATCAGTGAATAAAGACCTTAACTCTTTGATAAGAGGTCGATGGTAGACGTCAATATTGTTTCCCGGTGACTTAGGACCATCAATATGAAGGGGCATCAGAAAATATATTTGGTCCATAGCAAACCACAGCGAGAGGTTATAAACCATCACCACAAGAGACCATTTGCTGTGCGGATTGCCTTTAAAGCTGAAGGGGCAAAAGCCATCACTAGCCAATAGCCTGATATTGTGAGCTTCCTGACTAAAGATATCTTCCTACACTTGAATAGCCTATGCAGCCTTTGTGTTATGGGAAAGTATCGTACTATCTTGATAGGTATATCTTTCTTCTAACCATATACTTTCTTCTTATATCTAGCCTCTCCAAAGATAGGACACTCTATCTTATCTAAATTTTCTTCTTAGTAAATTATACAATCATTGGGACATACATGTATCATCTCACACTTAAGACCTAGATTAGACATTATTTTTTGAGCTTCGTACCAGCTCTCAGGCACATGGTTCCCTAGAGGCATAGAATCTTTAATAAACCTTAGGAGCATCGTAAATTACTTGTTGCTCTATTTATTTAAACAATTAATTTAGAATAGATAGACGAACCATGACAGCATGGAGTATTTTGCATTCTTATAAATAGGTATCATAGCATCATTCATGTATTTATCATAATTGTCTTCACGATGTCCTCCTCCGAAAGGAAGAACTTCAGCAGGGTTAGTGTTACCAAGAGCTACCTCAACCATTTCCTCTATTTCCTCATCGAGAAACAAGTTATCTTCTTCTTGTTCTTCTTCATCTGCATCACTGCGACCTTCAATTTCTCCATGATATACCCTAGTTTTTTAATTGCTAACAAAACCATAAATCATAATATGAAGTTCTACTTCTTCCTCCAATTGATGTAAGTTATTCACACATAACTTACATGGACAAATGAGTCTCCTATATCGGACCATATCGTGTTTACGTAGAAAGTCCATGAAAGCACTAACTCCATTATCGAAAATAGATTGCATGCGTTCTACACGACCCACGTACATCCAATCCATGAAAGCACTAACTCCATTATCGAAAATAGATTGCATGCGTTCTACACGACCCACGTACATCCAATCCTTATCTCCGATGAAGTTATGGGCCATGCTAACCTAAATAAAATGATTTATCAGTAACGACTTCTACAAACATGGATTTAGGGAGTAAGCTAAGCTTGATCATGACTTTGATTCAAATATAGGGTTACAATTAAAAGCTAAACAGTTTAAACATGTTCATATTATTAAATAAAATAGAAATATGTAAATAGTATATAAATCATGAGGTATTAATTGAACTCATAATTTAAGAAGTGCCTAGAGGAAAATAACAGTCGCTCCTATGTTACTCGGGTACTTCTATCATGAAGCCGTACTCGTACCAGACATGTAGCCGACACTTATCCATATCCAAACTTTATGGGCACTCATTGGATATAGTTATACGTTTATTCTGACATGTGCTCAATTATATGATATATGTTTTAATTTAAAACACTTATAAAATACTTCTTGAATGTATATCTTTCACTTCACAATGCTCACATGCATTTCTTGAAACTCGTTAGACAAAGTTCAGGTTCATTTCAGCCCATACCCAAGTTCAAAACTGTGATTTTAAATGGTCGTTTTGAGTGTCTAGTTCATATCTGAGCAACTTCCAGTTTATAATAACCAACATAATAAAAGAAACTAAAAAAGCATAATAGGAATTCTAATTCTAGTAACACATGAATTGAAAAATAATAATACTCTTATGTAAATTATTAATCTATATATATATATGCATGTTTACCCTCTAAAAATGCTATGAAAACTACAATGTTCTCTTCCTTGATCTGCCCAAATTTTTAACTAGTTTTGATCCAATGATGAAAATACAATTGCATAAATATCATAATAGCAACATCATAAATTAGATTAATTTTTATGAATAACCAGAAAAATCAAAAAATACAAGATAATAGCAGAAAAAACTCAATATTTCCTAAAAATAAGAAAACTCTCAAAAATTACCTTAAATAAGTCTGCTGGAGAAAGAGGATGTCTGAGGAAGAGAAGGTAACATTGGGAAGTCAATTAATTTGCTATAAATAGGGAAATTTGTGTTAGATGGTCAAATAAATTAGGTTTAGGGTTTTGTAGAGAGTAGATAATACTAATTTATAGAGAAGAAGGGGGCGACCTAAGGAAGAGATGGTGGAGGTGGTGAAGGAGGATGTGGTGAAATCGATGGAGACGGTGAAGGAGGAGGGGGGAACGAGAGCCCCGGCGATGATGAGGGAGGTGGAAGGGGTACGTTGGTCCGTGGCAAAGATTAGGTAGCTCCCGGCGAAGATGAGGCGGAGGAGTGAGAGTCACGGTGGATGAGGAGGTACGTTGGCCAGCGACCACGGTTGGACCTCGACGGGGTAGATAAGGGAGGTGGAGGAGGTTAGGGATCTAAAAGGGTGCGATGGTTTTAGGCGATGCAGAAATCTTTGGGGGGAAATATCGGGTTTAGTACACGGGAGAATGGAGAAAAAAGAGTTTTAATTTTTTTCAAAAACCAATAAAATCTCCCAAATGGTTTAAACCGTTAGGGCTAATATCCAAACGGTTTAAACCGTTTAAGAATATCATTATGGATTTTTTAATCTCCCAAATGATTTTAACCGTTTGGGTTTATTATCCCAAATGGTTGAAACCATTTAGGCTATTTTGACTTGTCCAAACACTTACAATAACTGTTTGGACTATTCTATTTTGTACTAGGGACTAGAAGAAATGGTATTTTTTTCCTTAACAATTTGATGATTTCCCTAGGTGTCAAACTTCAATGCTTCTCATATGGTTCATATTATTCATAATATATTATTTGTAGTTGATTTTTGAGGAAACATGCATACACGTTTTAGAGTTTAAAACGTGAATTTCCCACTAAAACTTTGACCTGCTAATGTGGAGAAAGAGACTTTAAGATAGTCGGAGATCATAAATATTGGGAAGTCAGGATGCGGGTAATAGACTGTAATTAGAAAATATAATTCTCTACTAAAAATCATAGCTTAGATTTAGGGCTACCACCGTAGAGTTAGAGTGAGATTGAGAGAGAGAAAGTGTGAGTTTTGTAAGAGAGAGAGAGAGAGAGAGAGAGAGAGAGAGAAGGTCCTCTATGGAAGGAGATCAAGAAAAAGTGAAAGGGTCTATCACAGATCCAAGCCATGGACTCAAGCTAAGATAAGTTTTATTATTCGTGCTCAATCTTCTTGTTTTGAATTCCTAATCTAAGATCTCATCTAGAATAATTTGTGCTAGATAAAGACATGAGTTTTGCTCACTCAATGGAGAAAAACTCAAGTTTTGCATTCGATATTCTGAAGCAAAGATCTCTACCTCTTCTTACTAGGGCACACATCTCTACCTCTTCTTTTAGATAAATCTCCTAAGGCATCTATTTTGATCATATTTATTCTCAATCACATGTTTTGATTCATGGGTTTGCTCAGATCTTATTAGTTTTTGTATAAAAATGTATATTTTTAGATAATACTGAAGTATTAAGATTTCTCTTTAGATTCTTGATGAAATAAACTCAAACTAAATGCAAATGCTTCATACTATGGCTCTAAGAAATGATAATACATGGCATGTGCATTGAGTAGACAATTTGTCAGTAGAATTTGATAGATTATGGAAAAAATACAGTCTACCAGTTCAGGCGTGCACAAATCACGTTGGTGAGCGCACACGTCCGATTGGGCAAAGACTCAATTCAAGAAGGAGATGTGCCAATTGTTTGATGTATCACTGAGCGCATGCATCCAGCTACCAAGCGCTTGTACCTAACCTAAAATTTGCAATTTTGACTATGTGCATATTATGAGCTTCCGACTTCTAATTTCACTTCTGAATTTTGACTTCTAATTTCACTTCCATTTTCTTTGTTAGCTTCCTTAAAATGAAAGATTACCCATAGCAAGGATTTTTAAAGGGAGTTTGCTATCTTATGAAGTTTTGGGTTTTTTTTTTATAATCCTCTAAAAGATAGTTCTCTAGAAAATATGTGTATTTGCTTTTTTTTCCAAATCATGTTTTGTGACTTTAGGTATGTGTTTCGTGAATCTAGGAATGTCATAAGTTAGTTCATATCATAGACTTAGATAACATTTGGTGGTTGTCCCAGATCTTCCCATACATGAGGGATGAAAATAGCATATTATGGATATTTAGCAAATTACGTTGGACTATACTTTTTAAGCTCACTTGTGTGCAAGTCGAGACCCATTTCTATTATATTGTTGGTCAGATGTATGTTATTAGTTGGTATACTAGCTCAAGGAATTTTTATGTTTAATCTTGTTTGTTAACTAATTCGTTTGACTTTATAATACATCCTCCTAGTGAGTACTAGATTTCATTTAGAATACCCTATTTACACGAGTTATGAGATAAGATAATATGTTTGGATTCACGATTAGAGATTCATCTTCCTTGAGCTCCCAGATGTAGATGGTACTCTGATCGAACATTTGGTTAGTATCATCTAGACAAGTATCAAGTGTCATGATTGTACGTTTCCTATGAGTTGAGATTTTCGGGACTAATGGATAACATTTCATATACAGTAAATTACGAAAAAGTAATCTGATAGGTTTAATTTTAGGAGACTAAATGTATAAACTTTGGATACTATTTCATTAGGGATTGGTGGGGCCATGTGTTAGTATCTTGGACACATGTAAAATTCTTTATTGCTAGGTGGGGCCATGTTTTAGTATCTTAGCCATGCTCTATTTTGTACTAGTGACTAGAAGAAATGGTATTTTTTTCCTTAACAAGTTGATGATTTCCCTAGGTGTCAAACTTCAATGCTTCTCATATGCTTCATATTATTCATAATATAATATTTATAGTAGATTTTTGAAGAAGCATGCATACACGTTTTAGAGTTTAAAACATGAATTTCCCACTAAAACTTTGACGTGCTAATGTGGAGAAGGAGACTTTAAGATAGTCGCGGAGATTAGCATATATATATATATATATATATATATAATATATATATACCTACACACCTAATACATATATATATATATACATAATACGTATACATATACATATATAGGTGTGTATATATATATATATATATATATAATATATAATATATATATATTGCTTCTATAGCAATAGGAGGATCAGAGAATTCCTGGTTCATAGCTACACGTAAATTGAGACCAGTAATTCTCTGCACCCTCGCATTTGGCATTCTGAACGGCGCGAGCCAACTCCAGCTTCTCTTCAAGAAATAACGGATTCAAATTCAAAACTTCCCGACTTCTCTCGTGAATCCTGCCAACCACCCTCCTCTCGTCCCCTCTCTCTTGCCCAGAAGCAACCTCCCTTTCTCTAGGAATCCCGCCACATCCGCTCTCTTCCTCTCTCTCTCCAGAAGCACCAAGAAGCAAGAAGAGGAGGGAAATGGAGAAAAATCAAAGGCAAGAAAAACCCGTTTCTCAGGCTTCTGCTCTCACCATGGACAAGCCTCTACCTCGCCTCCCACGGCTGGAACGTGCCCGAGGACCGCCGAGGAGGGTATTCGTCGCGCGTCCTCGTTCAGCAAACGGCTCGAAATACTCGCCATCCCTCCCTCTGCTCTTCTGCAGTCGCGGATCCCGAATCAAACCCAAAAAAAATATGGCGAGCACAGCTCGCACGCGTTCCCTCTCTCTCTCAACTGGGCGGTCTCCTATGCCAAAATTAGGGGTTTTCATATACGATCACCGAATCTCCCGCTGATGTTCGGCATCTAAGAGTGAACCTAAGCTCATCAACGCCCAAGCAACGCTTTCAGAGAGAATCGAAGGTGCGATTCTCCTCTCTTCCGGCCTGCATCTATGCGGAAATCGATGGAGGAGTCGCTCAGGATGAAGATACGGACGAAGGAAGGAGAAAGATCGAGGAGGAAGGACGACAAGTGCATTTTCAATAATATAGAGCAAGCATGGGGCCGCGGCCACTCGGGATTTGGGGATTGGGTGACTGTTCGCGGGGAAATTCGTTGCTTTCTTCATTGATGTCATTGCTATCTTGAATAACAGTTTTTTCGGTTACAAAAGATCCGGTCTTTTTTAGATCCGGTTACAATGAAAATCAAAAATAAAGAAAATCAAAAATTACAACTTTTTCTCCTTGTGAACAGATCACGAGCTCCTGTTATTCGGTCGCTCGCTTTGGTGGGTTGTTTGCCTGCGCCGGGGTTGTTTGCCGTGGACCACCGCGCGATCTAGATCCGGACAGATCTACGCAGTATAACGGGTATTATTTCACAAATGAAATAATAGCCGGGGAGGATTGATTCACCAAGGAAACAATCGTCCAAGTCTCGGGATCTAAGACCAAGCTTAGATCCGGAGTGTAACAGCGTAGATCTGAGATCTTGATCCCCTCGAACTCCTGCCTTTTTTGTGATGCGGGTGCTCGCCGAGAATCAGATCCGAATGTCCAAGTCTTCAAGCCTTCAAAAACTCCAAGATGAGGTCTTAATCCGGCAGAGTTTCGGCTCTCCAAAAGTTCTTCCAAAAAGTCCTCCAAAATGATGAATGACCCCGCCTATTTATAGGCAACCAGATCTGTGCATTTGGCACAGATCTGGCGGCTTTGGCCGAGCCACTCCGGGCTTTGCGTCCGTCGTTCGGTTGTTTCGGTCCTTGTATCCGCTTCGTCTGTGATTCGGTTATGCGGTTGATTGGTCTGACATCTATTTGTTGACTTGATTCCTGATTTGGAAGTCTGGATCCCGATTAGGCAGTAAATCGGCTTTGGTGTCTGAGTTCGAATCCGTTATATGGTTGGATGACTCGTTGACTCTCTGGACCGTTGATTTGATTCCGCACGCGAGTGGATTCATTCCGTCGTTCACGTGCGATTCGTCAGCTTCGTAGCCTTGTTAATCCGCTTCGTTGCGTGTCACTTGGCTTGGGTGTTGTGGACTGACGTTCGTGCTTAGATACGTCGCCTGATGGTTCATTAGTTCGTGTTGAACCATGTCAAGGGACCTATAAGCAATTTTATATGCCTACAGATACCCCCTCCAAAGTTTTCCAGTCTCGTTCTTTTATAGAGGAGTCTGGAATACTTTGGATATGACTGTCCCAACCTTCAATCGGTGTAACGGGCTCTTGGAATAGCTTCTATTCTCGATTCCTTCAATCCTCCAGGCTATTCGGTGCTTTGTCGAATGCTTGAGAGGGTTCCGGTGCTGCATTTATTGTCTGACCGTTGTCGGAATTTTGAATTTGAAGTCGATTCTTGATTTCCTGGCTTTTTAGCTCGAGTTAGTTGCTTCAACATGAAATTGACCACTGGTTGACAGCTTTGAATCTTCATTGTGATGCGTTGTCCGGCGTTTAACACAGTTTATACTCGTAAGTATTTTGGAGTCTACACAGTTTAAGCTCTTAAGGAGTTGGAGCGGGGA